GCCGCCGCCTCCTCCTCCTCCGCCGCCGCTGCTGCCGCCCTGCCAGCCCGAGAGGCGCGGGTAGGCGTCGAGCAAGCCCACCCGCAGCCGCTCCATCTCGTCCAGGTGGCTCTGCAGGTCGCCCACCAGCTGGTCCAGCAGCGCCTGCGGGGGCATCCCCAGCGACACGCACTCGAAGCTCCGCGGCGCCCCGCGGGTTAAGCGCAGCCGGCACTCGCGGGAGAAGCTCGACATGGCGGACGGCGCTGCTGCTGCTGCTCTTGTCACCGGACGGCCGTCCAACAGAAGCTGCCGCCGAGCGAGCGAGGAGAGACGGTTGTTGCTGCTGCTGCTAAAGCGGCGGCTGCGGCTGGATTTGCGCGCCTCGACGACGCTGCTCTGGCGGAGGATCCCGGCGGGGTAACGCCTGCCAAACCCGCCCGGGGAAAGGGCGGAGCGAGAGCCCAGCTCCCTTCGCAGCAAACAAAGTTGCCAAGTGCGGGGCTCGAGCAGGAGGGAGCGCGCCCGGGGATTAGCCGGGCTCCGGTCCCTGCAGGCGGGATCGCGCGGGGGCGAGGGCATCCTGGCATCAAATTGCATCCTGGCATCAAATTGCCTCCCTGCCTCCCATTGCATCCTTGCGCCGCGTTGCACCGTTGCATCCCGTTGCACTCTTGCATTCCATTGCAGCCTTGCGTCCCATTGCACCGTTGCATCCCGTTGCATCCTCGCACGTCGGGTGGTGGTGGTGTTTTTTTTTTCCAATTGAAGTCGCGCGCTGTGCAGAATTGCGAGGCGCAGGAAGGTTTTATAGGTTTGCGCCTGCTAGCGCGGCTGGAGTTGCAAATGCAGGCGCCTTTCCCGACCCGACGGTTGCTGCAAAAAAGGAGCTTTCCCGCCCCCCCACCGACGTCTCCGGACGAGGCTTTCCCGCCTTTTCCCCGTGTTTTTGCAAGCGGCGATGCAGGAATTGGGGGGTGGGGGCTTAGATGGCGGAGATTGGGTTAAATTGGGTCGGTTTTGCAGGTTGCATCAATTCTGCGTGTTTTTTTTTCCCCTTTTTAACAGACGGAACTCATTTAATTAAACTAATTTAATTATCTTTTTTGTTTCTTTTTTTTAAAATTTTTTAAAAAAGATTTTATTGGTAAAAATAAAATACAACATCCATAACTTGTAAAAAAC